CAGCCATTTATAGGCGCTAAAACACTAACATACTGACAAGATCTTTCGCTGTCTATGGCCGGGTACCCATTTCCACCTGGGTGAAGTTAGGAAAATTTATGTAAAGTGCCTTTCCCAAGGACACAACGTCGGGCCCGCGGCTCGAACCTCTGACCCCGCAACCTCACGATTACGAGTCCGGTAGCCTAACCACTAGGCCACCGACACCACAACAAAGATGGCAAATTGTAGGTGTTTTTATTTACACCCAAACCAACACTATTCAGATCATATAGGAGGTAGGCTGCATTGACCTCTCCTGCCAGGGCCAACCCGCATTGTGAGGGATACAACACCTCAGAAGACAGAAGGAGATGATGAACTTTGTCTTCTGCATGTGGTGGCAAAGTGTCTTATCGCACTACACCACAGACGTTGGTCTCGTGTATCTGGGTGTAAGTAGTAAAAGATGTCAAATTGTCCACCAGACAAGTCAAATCAATAACACCTGTCTCACTCCCCCAGCACAACGAACACCCAATGCCTGCATGTGGCTAGCAGCCCTTCAAACTGAGGCTCACATAACTGAAAGAGAAGTTTCAAACTGCCCTGAAAATGCAAGACAGAAAAATCCTTTGCAGTATTATCTAGTTTCATCTCAATTTAAACTTGCTAGATCAAAAAGTTTACTGCAGTAACTGTTAGCAACTGAAATTCTTGATTCCTATCTCTTCCCCCAAAATTAAACCAACCCATCCCAATTTTAGCGGGAATCCCCTCACAAAAAGGAAATAATCCGTGGAGTAACCCACCATCCAGATTCCTCTAAAAAAAGAGCCTTCCCAGTTCGCAATTCTTCGGGACAAGTATTGAGATAAGAACGTGATACAACAATGTCCAAATCGTGAATGATCATCAGTCTCTTCGTTTCTTGCTTCCACTTCCTTTACTGCTGCCATCGTAGTCCCGTGAGGAGCCAGGCTCATCCGCTGACCTCTTTTGGCCCTTCTTAGCCTCTGTGATAAATCTGTCCAAGTTGAAAGGATCCTCCTCCACATCTCGCGTAAACTGGACTGGACCTTCACGCCGCCGGTTACGATCTGTGCCTTCAAAGTCTTTGTCGGGGACAAATCTGGGAATGAGTATAAACATAACATAGAATAAATGTCAAATGTATTCTCTTAATTTTAAAAGAAAGAGTCTTTTTAAACGTTTTTACTTCAATCAATTATGGAAATGAACTGCTCACTTGACCCCCCTATCAGAGGACACATTCCATGAACGATGGGGAAAAATAATTTAGATCCCCACAGGGATTCGAACACAAGCTTTTGTGAGGCAGACGAAGTTTGTTACCTACAACTCCTTTAACACTTTGCAGTCACAGAGCCAGCAGAACAAAATACCCTATCTGGTCACCCAGCCAGGAGAGTGACTGCAACAGACTTCTCAGTAGAGTTGGGGCGAGCGGACGGATGGGTTCATTACTCGCGGACTCAGTCAGAGCGAACGGGTAACGGACGGCCATGAGAGCAAACTGCGAACCTCAAGACAGTTCGTTTTTTGGATCTGCTCCACAATTTGACTCTCCCAGTGAGCGGACTGCGGACCTCAAGCCACTTCGTTTTTTGGGTCTGCTCATCACAATTTTATTCACTGGGCGGGCGGGCGGGCGAACGGACGAACTCTAGCAGACGAGATACTCGGCACAAGATTAGACCCGTCGTCTATTGTTTGTTAATTAGGCCTGATGTTTCAAACCACTAGCGGTGCCACAGGGAGTGAGAGAGGCTGGTGATGTAGTACTATGTGTGCAACCTTTCACCTCGTGTGCGGGGCACACTGTGTACGTTCCAATTATCTCAAAGGCCGGGGGGGGGATGGGGATTTCCGCCATGAACGCCTAGCTGCAATGTGAGGCAGGAGGATGCTTTTTAAATTAATTTTTTTTTTTTTGGAGGGGGGGGGGGGGGGGGTTGTAAGTTGTAGGCAATGGAAGGAGTCGTTCCCGTCCATCCGTCCGCCCGCTCGAATGCATGGAGTCTCTCGGTCCGCTCGTCCGCTCGCTAAACGATCTGTTGTCTCTGCGCGATGTGTAGCGAGTAGCGAACTACTCTTCCCAAAGGGACGGTTCGTTACCCGTCCGCTCGTTTGCAGGTAGTGCCAACGAGTAGTTCGTTACTCGCGGACGCTAATTTTGCGAGCCTGACCCAACCCTACTTCTCAGGCATGTGCGCCATGTGACCGAAACGGATAATTTTCACCTTCGCATTATTGTGTCAAGTAACCGTAAAGTGTTAAGGCCGCATAACGAAACAAAATTATCCTTTGCCCCCTCCTCTGGGCTCCTGACTCTTTCTGTAGCCTTCTTACAGCTACTCCTCGCCTCCTTCTTACTGCTGTCTTTCAGCCCCACCCCTGATCTTCCGGTAGGAAATATCTACACCTAGCCTTCTCGGACAAGGTCGAAAAAATCTGGGAAGTCCCGGGTGCAAGTTGGCAAAAATCGATGAGAGTTGGCTGCGGCCGCCACTCGGGCAAAATTCAAAATTTACCAGCAACTGAAAATGTTAAACATGCCCCACGCGCTCATGCGACCGTATGCAGATGTGAGCACCGTAAACACTTACAAACCCTCCCCCCCAAAAAAAAATTCTAAGAAAAATATGTTCATCAACACAGTAGGTTAAAAAAAGTTATGAAAATAAACATAGACAGGAAATCGTAAGGACCAGGAAAGAAAACAATTGTAAACTGATGAAATTCACTGAGTTCAAGTGTAAACAATGTCTACATTTCTCTGTAATAGACTATGATAATTGTAACACTGAAAGGCAAAGGCCCTCCCCACCCTCATATTATGCTATATTATTGGGATTTCCCACAGTTGCATGATACACAATTCCACACAAGAGCCCAGAAATATTAACCCATCTCATAGAGATCAACCAAGTCCACTGTTGCATGAACCCTCCAGTCCATCAAGTTGGACCATTGTAACCCGATAGTTTCGCTTTCAAGACTGACCGCCTTGGGGGACTTTCCAGTTACTAACTATAATATAATGGAAATCTCTTCAACTAATGTCTGTGACTTTTGGTTTGGCGAGATCTTCCCATTTCTGCAGATATTAGATTCACTATCAGGCAACTAGAATTGAAGACATTGTTATATGAATCTGACGCTTTTTTAACCAATTTCTTACCCCCCCCCCCCCTCCATGGAGCTTGAATCTAGATATTAGTTTTTTCCATGTGATGGACTACATGGTTATCATAACAATGAAGGCACTGACTAACACATTACACCCTAAGGGTCCATTCCTAGAACCTAAGCAAGGGGAAGGTACCCACCTCCAGTAAATACAAGAATATAAAAAACACATTCTAAAAATACTAAACAAATTCCAAATATCCTTTCAAAAAAAAAAAAAAAAGAAAAAAAGAAAAAGATATGAATGTAGTTTCAGAAAAATATAGCTTTCCATGCACAAATTGATGACAAAGTTCTAATCTTAGTTCGATCGGGATGTCTGACCCGTCACTTTCACTCTCAGCCGGGCCCTAGATCTAAATTCTACATCTGATTAATCTGAATCGCCCCAAACTCTTGCTACAATGTTTTCATCAATATCTGATTTGTCATTTGCTTGTTCTTGCTCAAATCCATCGTTATTTCCTTTTCCAAACTCAATTGTGTTGCTTTTCAACAAGTCCGGACCCCAGACACCTTCGAAGTGTCGGAAACTCGATCGCACTTTGATCGGCTTTAATACTAAAACTACTGGCCCGAAAAACTTCGTTTCGGTATCAAACAGAAGAAGAAACATTTTGCAAAGACTATGTAAAACCAAATGGGGCATAAGTGGCGGATAAAAAATGTAAAAACGAAATCTTGGCCCCTGGGTCTAGTTAAGGCAAGACTTCGTTTCTAAAGACGCCTGGTCCGAGCAGGCGGTTCCGGGCGAGTTAGGATGGAGCGCATAAGAAAATTCGCGGGCGAGATAAGGTGTAATGTGTTAAATAAATTAGGGGGCTAATACCTTGCCATACTGAGGAATCAGACATTAATGAGGATTTAGATCTGGACCTAGTTGTCAGTCAGACAGATGTAGAGGATGAACAAAAAGAGGTAGGCCTACATAGAACTATAATCGATCAGTGGACCATCCTTGACCAGCCAGAAATTTAGGACAAGCCTAGAAACATTGACTACCATTTGATTTTATATCATTATGTCAGATTGCAGCTGTAGGCAGTAAAAAAAAATTGTTCGATTTTGCATTTTCTTGGCACCCCCC